AAGAAAACTTCTCCAGCAAGTTCTCCAGGGTAGAAGTTAAGTTATCTGGGACTGAGAAGAAGTGTTCTGAGTATCCAGAAGTTCTCCAGGCTGAAGAGACGACAATGAAGATGACAAACGTGGTTAAGACCTCTAACAATCCAACTCTACTTTAAGTATAATCTCTCTCTCTTAATCAGCTAGTGTAGAAATCATAGAAGGTAGTAAATGTATGTAGGTAACGTTCTTAATACCATATGTACTAATAGAACTAATGTTTAAAGTGTGTAATGTTTTGAGGAGTTATTAAATGTTAAATAAACGTTAGTTTGAGTGTTCACTCTTGGCCTGAGACTCAGTTTCTTTAGTCTAACAGTAAACTTCCTCGAGTTAGTGACTTGTGGCTCTACTCGTCACGACAAATCCTCCAATAAATAAATTTGGTGTAACGACTAGTTTTAATTGAAACTCCATGAATTAAGCCCACCAGGGCACTACTCATTACAATAGTATATGACAAACACTGACTTATATAATTCATGTTACCAAAAACTTTAAAATAATCACTTGGTTTATAATTTAAAGTTGTTATATGCATTTGGATAACTGAGAATAAATGAAAGATTAGACAAACACAAGGTCAACTATGCTTTCAACTGTTATGTGTCAGTAACCACGTGATCATATTTCTAGTTCTTAACATTCAAGGTTTTTCTGAACTTGAAGTTTGGTCCAGTATATAACCAAGCTGGTCAGTGGCCTTGAATATCAAACATTTCAGAATATTTGAGTAAGTTCTTTATTTCTTTTTTCATGTATATTCTTTATTTATTATTATAAAATTAACTAAAAATGTAAAAATAGGATCTCTTTAGGTTAGTTAAGGTTAGATTACATAAAATAAATAATAATAATAATACAATAAACATGTTTCACGTGGCACACACACACACCAGCAGCTCCTGGGTAATGTAATTCCATAGCCTAACATGAGCTCCACCTTCCCCAAATGATTTACAACTTATAATGGCGCCAACAGTAGTTAGACACCATTCAAAGGGCAATAAAACAATAACATTTAATTATAAATAGATGTACACTGCTACCAGTTTAAAGCTACTTAGGATAAATGAATGCAGTTTCATGTTAAAATTTGAAGTTATTCTAGAAGGAGAAAAAGGGTAATTTAGATTTATTTCGATTTTTTTTGTTGGTTGCCAGATCTGTCAAATTGACCAATATTGTTTGGAGTTAGTGTAGAGAAAATAGCAGACAAAATATAATGTTTTACTGAAAACAAGCATTTGAAGTGTATTCATGAAGTTTTTTAGATTACAGAAATCAAATCTGAGATTTTTTAGCTGAAGAAAAGTATTTTTAATCTTAACATAACAATCACTTTGCACACGGACAATTCAAAACAAATACTCGATATATTCATGGACAAATCTATTTTTAGTTTATTTAAAATACTTCACAAAAAATATGTTTTTTTTGTATATGAAAGCCTTATAATGTTTTGTGAAGGTATACATAATATATTAAGAATTAGTAGTATCAAATCTATAAAGACTTGATAATGAGTACAAAGAGATCATGTGGTTGGTCAATTCAACCCAGCCCATGTTGAGAGAGTTAAACTGATTAAATATAGTCATGTTGAGACACATATTGTTTGAGTCATTGTATCATGGCCACCTGTAGAAAGTCATAACTGTCTGTCTGGTATCAAACCGTAATTTCATCCCTATGACGTCATGGCTACTGAGCAATATGTTCATGGTACTAATCACCCATCATGGCCATCTGTCATGGCGGCCTAGCAACGCATCCCTAACAACTTGCCATCTTGTGATATGATATCATGGCGACCTTTAACCCTTTAATTGCAATGTATGTCATGAGATTTTACTGAGTTAAATTCAAAATTGAATTAAACCACTTTACTATAAATGTACTTTAATGAAATTACTATTATCAAGTATGTTATAATTTAAAGTTTTATATTATGTAAGTTTATTCCTTTATTTTAAAAAGAAGAATCTGAAACAGCAATTAATACTGCAGTTTTTGCTGTCATTTGATTAAAATTCTCAAATTTAAAAAGTTTTGACAAAAAACTATGACTACCTAATACAGACTGTTGGTATAGAAGGTTAAAGCAGTTCCAGCTGGGGGAAAACTTCCAAGAATTTCTCCCTGTGGGAAACAACATTTTAATACTTTTATTTTAAGGTCAGCCACGCACTCTTGCAAAGTCAAAGCTGTGTTTTCAAGTGACACTTTGAAGTTGAATGGCATGTATATGACCAATAGAAAGAGCAGATTTCGCAATTTTTAGTTATAGCCTGAAGAAACCTTTACCTCTTTATGGATCTGTAGTATGAAATAGAAAATAAGCTTAGTGCATTGTTCTCTTGAGAGGTATGTAATGTTTGGCAAGTGTTTCTTGCTTGTATGAATTAGTTTGCTAAACAGTTAGATTTCATTTAGGTTTTACATTTATATCTTAATTAATTTTGTATTATTTGTGTTTTAAAATGCATATTTAAAATGTTTATGATTTTTATAGGTTTAAATTGTTGTAGTTTGGCTTACGAAAATGTCTAAGCAAGATGGCGTCATTCACGTGTGCTAGGGTAAATGTTTGGAATTTATACAGGAAAGTCGCCCTATGATAACAACAGAGCACCATGGGAACATGTTGATGGTGATGGGATAATGAATAAAAGAAAAAATTGGAAAGGAAAATTGAAAATAAACTACAAAAAGAAGTTTGAAAACTATTCTACGAAAATTTAAAAGGTATGTACATACTTCCATTTCTTAATTTTAAACATTTCATTGCAGTGTACATTGATGATGATATCTGGAGTTAATGATATAGTAGAGACAATGGAAAATAGAATATAAACATTTACTTTAAAAAACGTTTTATATTCATTCAGGAGGTTCTAGATATTATGCAAATGAAATGTGAAAACTATGAGATAAGAACTAGTATTTTTATACTCAAAATGAAAATCACATTGCATGTGAACTATTGAAAGTCTAAGTGCAAATAACTACATTAAATAATGAATGCTTTATTATGACTAGAAGAAAAAATCAAAATTAAATATTTTATTTTTCTAAAACTACATAATCTTAGGAATGTTCAAGTCAAATTTAAAACTATTGCATCAACTTGTTTCGTTTTTATAAAGAACTTTCACGAGAGTCGAGTGGCATACCTACTTACAAAATAAGTAGATCGTAGTCAAAGGGTTTTTAATGGCGGCCTAGCAACGTGTCCCAAATGTGACGGGCTTTCTGGTGACTATTTGTGGAATTATGACGCATGACATCATTGACTCCCCACTGCCTCCTCCAAGAGGCAGCCAATCAGCGTGAGGCGGCATCCTTTGGACAGTAGAGTACCAACCTAACTACTCATAATGATTATTATTAATCAGACTAGCTGTTTAATGCATATTATGAAAGAAACAAGTTGTATAATGCAAATGACGAAGCGAACAAGTTTTATACTGTATCTAATGAAACAAATGGTATAATATTTATGACGAAACAAACAAGTTGTATAAAACAGGTAATGAAGCAAACGAATTGAATAATAACTTTTTAAGGAGCAAGTTGTATAATGCTGATGATTAAACAATCAATTTGCATAATGCATATGATGAAACAAATTTTACATTAAGTATGATAAAGCAAACAAGTTTTACAATACATATGATGAAATAAACACGTTGTGTAATTTCTACCTTGAAATAGACATGCATAGGATGAAGCAAACTGTACAATACTTACGATGTGTAATTTCTACTTTGAAATAGACAAGTGTAATGCATAGGATGAAGCAAACTGTACAATACTTACGTTGTGTAATTTCTACCTTGAAATAGACAAGTGTAATGCATAGGATGAAGCAAACTGTACAATACTTACGTTGTGTAATTTCTACCTTGAAATAGACAAGTG